CATCACTTGTTGGGCCTCCAATTTGTTTCGGGTTATTCTGTGTAACAGCTTCACTGGCTATTCGGTCAATCATTGACGGTTAATATTGAAATTTCAGGAATTGTTTAGTTGCTGTGCTAAATAGTGAGATTATGTTGTCGAAACGTTTGAAATTCTCAAATCAATGTCATAAACATGAATATTCCATGCCTTGAAAAATATATTGGGAAAAATTATTAGAAACATCAACTTTTGAAGATCGTTTTTCGTACATTAAAAAGTTCTATCCACACGTGTCGTAAATTTCTATTTTTAGTTTTAACTTGACCGCACTCATGAATATCAAAACTCATAAACGGTATTTAATGCATTTTCAAAGTCGTATTTTCGTTGTGAAAAACTTTATCTCTGGTATTCTTCCCCAAATGAATTTGCAATGTGCAATTTTTTTTTTCATTTCATCTAAACTTCTTACTCGAAATGAACCGTAGGAGCAGTTATCACAGAAGCGCCAACGACCGCCGGGAAAGTCATTTTCCCTAACGACGAAGAAATTTTCTTGTGGCCCGTTGGGTTTTCTCCCAGCGCCAACCGTTGGTAAATGTCTGGTGATTAGATTTCGGAAGTGCCGTTACCGTTAACCCCGAGATTACTGTTTCGCTTTCGTGGAAAATGAATATACTCCTCAGTGTCCCCTCATCATCCACCTTTCTCTATCTCTCTCTTTCTCTAGTTTTTACCTCCGAGGGGACACTTGCGCAATTAGTGGTGTTGTTGCCTTTGTTTCGTGAAACAAAAATTACTTCTTGTCGCTTCTTTTTATTTCCCTCACTTTAAAAGACATTAGGGAGGGACAATAAGCTTCACAATTTCCAATCTTTTTCACGGTTAATTATCGGCAATGCCCTCGAAGGATAAATCTATTTCCAATCTTACAAACCATCAACTTTTATGAGCTCCGTACTTTCGGTGATTATTCGTGGTCCTCCTTGATTGTCATTTTCACTTCACAATATGCAAGTAAAAAAGGTAATGCGACATGAAGGTTAGAAAAGTTAGAAAAAGCATTGGCATATTTAAGAAAACCAGTTTCTCGATTGAACACCACTTTTTCAACGTCAAGTAATTTTTTCCCCTTCACAATTGGAATAACGCGATTACAATTTTCTTTGTCAATCCTCTTTACGTAATTAATCCATAAAAAAATCCGGGTGCCCGTGACGGTCGCGTTGAGTGTGAAAATAAAATTGTCCAATTTTCCCCCAGTCGTGCATTAAATCCTTGGTGAAAGAGCCTCAAAATAATTCAGTGCGCCCCCCCTCCCCTCCCCCCAAAATTAGATGGCGCCTGAAAAAAGTCGGGAACCTGGTGGGAACGAGTGCTCAGGGGGGAGACAGGAGTGAACAATACAAGCAAAAAGGTTTATGGTTGTTTGGGGTACTCTATCTTTAGGTGCAACATATCATGGGGCTTTTCTCCTCTGGCTTCTCTTTCATGCTCTTGGACCCGAGGCCACCGCACTGAGTTATTTTACGGTTAAAATAGTCTAGTGTTTTCTCCTCCCTGTCTTCTCTCTCAGTATCGCATCGCCAAAGGCAAAACCCAGTGCACTTGCATCGATATCAGACAACCCAAAGGAACCCCTGTACCCCCGGGCCAGAATAAAGAGCGGAAGGAAGAGCGCGCTTTTTCAAATGTACAAGCAAAGCTGCTTCCTCCAATCCTCTTTCGATTGGCTTACAGGGACTCCCCCTCTGGCTCTATCAACATACTCTGTCTTTTCCTCAACCTTGAGAACTATCGGAGTTAATAAAGTAAAGCCGATTGGACATGAAATGTACATGTCTTTTTATGTCCAGATGATATTCAGCCATCAGTCGAATTTGTCACATTCTTGGTGATTACCCTTTTATCGCCAAAATTGTTGACTCCTTCTGAAATAATTGAACTATTGTTTTCGTACTCGACAAAATTTTTGATAAAATTAATAGTTTTTTGGATTAGTCCCTATTTAACACAAGTGCTATGTCCATTAAATCTATTGGGATTATTTGAGATTTAGTTATCTTAAATTTTTGACAACCGTTTGATTTTTATCGGATTTCAATTCATTTTTTTCATTTTTTATTGGTGATCAAGGAGAAAAATGAAAATGATTTTCCACTCCTTTGGGTCGTTTATCCGCCAAGTTTATGTTGCACTCGGTGCTGCTAAAAGCCTCGGCGATTATTTATTAAAAGTATTTCCTCCATCTGTGCATTTTTTTTTTGTTTTTTTTTTATTTATGTACTTGGTCGTAACACACACATGTTCCGCAACAAGTGGCTTACGCAAGAGATTATTATTGTTGGACAGTCTATTTATATTGTTTTTGAGACAGTGGAATTTCGCCTTTAAAATAAATTTCGTGTACATGAAATTTTATCATTTTTTCCATTGTCGTGGATTTGTATGCTTCTACATATTTTTGATTGACATTTATAAAATTCCGAATTTTAAAAACAGGAAAATTCGGGTGAATATTTTGAAATTTTTATTTTTAGAAATTTCAGGGTAATTTTGCACTGAATATTCATGTTTCATCGAATAATCCGGGATTTCAATCGTTGAATACAAGTTGACAATGAATAACAAAAGGATTTTTCATTTCTTTTCGAAGTCCAGATTGTCCTTGAATCTTCATAAAAATGCAGAGATTCCTATATCATTTCCCCCTCTCAATTGATTTCAGCATAATTTAAGTCAACAGTATCTCTTTACTGTACTCTTATCAATTCTTCATCAATTATCCTATTCAGGAATGAAACTTTTGACTTTACGAGAATTTTCGCCTATCGTTTTAATAGTTTCCGTGTTGGATACTAAAGCCGAAGAATACATTTTTCCATAAATCAACATCCTACAATAAAATTTGAAATATTAACATGAAAATTGATAAAATGAAACACGTGTATCTTGAGTTACAATCTTGGATGAGTATTGTACCCTGAAGCTATAGTGCCTGTGTCCTTATGTCATTTGACAGGCGTTTGTATGCCCCAACCGTATTTTTACGCATTACGTATTCTCACGATGTAAACAGCACCGAGTTGAAACGAACGCCAGCTGTATAGTTTTGTAAATACACGAGTGCCGCGTACACTTGTATTTGTACTGGGAATCATATCGTCAGGTGTAAGTGGACAAAGTGGTATATACCTCGGGTGTAAAGAGGAAGGAGGAAGTGGAATCTTCGGAGATTTACAGTAACACGTGTATATGAATGAGTTGGAATATGAAGGTGGGATTTTTTGGCAACATTTCGAATGTCGCTGAATTAATTTGGCGGTTATGCAAACTCAATTATCTTCGAGCAATTCGACTAATCCAAACTAGTCATCTGAATGGTAGCAAATTCTTCATGGCAAACTAGCTCCGACTTTTCCGTTCTCTATCGTTCTCTAATTCTACCGATTATTTAATGTCGTTACATCATTTTTATACAGTGCAATAGTTTTTTTTTGAATTTGAGTGGAATGCCTCGTGTCGATTTGGAATAAAAAATTGACATAATCAAAGGCCGTGCTTCAAAGGATGTATTTATCCAGACGAGAAATCAAAATACCATTTTATCTGTCACTTGGAGTATAACAGAGCGTAATGATAGCACAGTGCATCACAGGTTAATTCACGGTAATTTTTCTATATGTCGGGCTATGATAAACCATGAGCTGATGATTACCCTACCAATAAGTTGTATTCACACAGTTATGGAATCGCCTACGCGATTGAGGGACATCCCACGCAAATTCAAATCGCATATACTGAATCGCAAGTACCAAAACGCAATTTGCGATAATCAAGCCACAACGTAAATCCGTGTTTTGTCTATGGCTATATGGGATAAATGCGTGTATATACAACATCCGGTACAGCCAATTACCTTGGGCTTATGGCGCCCAGGGATCATCAGTGGTAAAATGTACGTTATCGGTTGACTGGATCGGGGTTAGAGTCAAAGCCCAGACATGGACGTCTTTGTGGTTGGACATTTCCTGGATGATGTTATGAGCAAATCACCGGTTAACAAAATCACTCCATCGGATGCACATTTTAGCGTGATTTCGGGGGATTAACCATTGAATTTCCGTGACGATTTGATTGTTTAAGGAGCGATGAGGCGGTATTCATTGGGAATTACACTGTATGCAGTTTTTGAAAAAATAATTCAAGTGAATTGAATTTCAATTGGTCCATCGATGGACCACTCAATCAATTATGAAAAAATCAATTATGATGGGTATTATTTTCATGTCACGAGTTGACAGAACAGATTTTTTTAGTGCTGTGGGATTGGAAAATTATTGTTGCCGTTTATTTTTGAGCATTCGAGTCGATAGTGCCGTTGGCCTCGAAAAGCTGTTACAGTTTCGTTCACTTGTAGAGTTGTATCTCGACAACTCTCAAGAACAAAAACCAAGGAAGACAGATAACGACGACGACGTGTGATTATTTTCGATTTTATTGTGGCGGAACGACGAGAGACTCTCTCGTCTTTTGGATGCTCGCCAATGCTCTCTGCGTAGGCGTTGGGCAAAATAATAATGAAATGGCCTGCTAACTTCCCGAGATACTCAATCATGAAAATTAAAATGGGCTTCGCTTAAAATACAGTTATCTTTCAATAAACGTTGCTGAACATTCATCAACAAACACGATCGATCAATAAATACACGTTTCGTATGATAACTTCATTGAAGTCTGCAAATAAAGGAATACAAAGGAAATTTATAAGCTATTGTTCGAACAGAACTTCAATTAGTCCAATGACGAGATAAATAGTCAAGTGGTTAGGCAATCGATTATTTTAATTTAATCGCACAAGTCACTTTTTTTCACATTTCTCCCCCACAAATTTGAAATCAGCTCATCTGAGCTGTGAATTTTTTTTTATTTTCGAATTTTCGATTTTTCGAATTTATTAAAAATTCCTTTTTTTTAATTCGACAGATGTTTTAATTTCGATGTTTTTTCTGTTTCAGGTAAGTCACAGTGCCGACTCGACCAATAGGTCATCCATCCAAATAAATTAATAAAGAAGCTACTTCCATGCATTCCATGATAATCGCACCAGGTTAGATATACCGCATGAACGTAATTAGTAATTACCACTTGTATAAATGGTCGTGTCCGTAACTGAAGTCGCCGCGCTAGTTGTTGGTCCCATACGTCTCTGATCGATGACATACGGTAGAATGAAAAATAATTCGACAAAAAGTCAGGGGTTGGGACAGAGGGACGGGGATAATAGGGAGTAGTCGAACAAGACAGGTAGACCTGTAGCTCCAACATGCTCCAATCCCGGTGATTGCCTCCGGGCTTCAATTCATGTAATACGTATCTGAGCATACGCACATGACCAATATAACATCCTTCTGAGAAACTACCGTGTACCTCTCGCTATAACGATAACTATAATCGGGATTATTATCGAAGCCCTCGGGAGCATTATTTCTCGCTGCTTCCGGTCAAGTGATGAGTACTGAAGTATTTTTGCCGGTTTTTTTTTTAGATTTTTACATCTCGGTTCTAATTTCGGGGAGAAACACTCTAAATAATTATAAAGCAATTATTGAATACAGGGAATCATTAAATATTCTCGTGAAACTTTAAGGTTCCATGGAATTGTCAAGAATCAATAGAAGTTAGAAGAATCAAATAGAATTTTTAGTGAAATTTCAATTTATAGGTATTTTTTCCGTAAATTTAATGTCACTCTTCTGAAAAGTGTTCATAACATTTTTATGTTTGTGCCCTCGTAAACTCCAACCTCATTAAATTAATGGAAAGACTTATCCGTGAATTAATAAGGACGACATTCTCAATTACGAATTGAATTCGTCGGGGATTTTAGTTGGCACTGGCATTCTCGGTTGTCATGCAGAATGAAGCGAAAAAAATTGGGGCAGACGGTATGAGACACCCTGTGAGACACCAGATCAAATCTGTCCCAACGAACGGAAGTCCAGTGTCAAGTTACTCAGGTGAAGGGCCTCAAAGGCCAATCGAGAATCTGTCGTTTCTCCGTCATCATCTTACCCGTGTCTAACCTCAGCCAATCTCTTACAAGAAAAAAATTATACTTCATGGGTAATTGATCACAAATTTTCAGAACAGTGACATTGAATGCGATTTGAAGACAAAAAAAAAATCATCAAGTCAGAAATTTAATTCATGAAATGCTCCCACAATCAATTGATGATGATTTTCTCTTCCGACTTTTACCGCATCATAAAATTGTGATTTTTATCACAATTAATCTCTTGGAATGAGTTATGAAAACATCATTCGCGTGATTTTATACTTCCAGATGAATATTTAATGACTCCTGCAGTAATTATTTTTTAACTACTAAAATCGCGTTTATTTATTTTCACTTTTTTTTTAGTCTGAATTTTCTGCTAAAATTCAAGCGTTGATTGAAAAATCAGTGATGATTCAACACGAGACTCAATTTTGTTGGATTTTCATGGTGAATTTCGTGAACGTTTTCGATTGAAATTGAATTGACACTTATTTAATTGAATACTCAGGTGAAGTAGCGACTGATATTTGAAGAAATTCCGAGAAATTGTACAACACCGATGATCCATTAAATCACCAGGTGCACGTTATTTGCCCCTCGGTATCCAAATCACAACTCCCTAGACAACGTTTCTCCCCCTCGTTTTCTCTTTCTTCCCATCTTTTAACCACTTGGAGGGCGCCGTAATAAATCTTACGGAAGATCCTCCAGGTAGTTACCTTTGGCGGGGCATTTTCCCGAGGGACACCCGGGAAAATTGTACCAAAATCCAGCCTGACTTCTTCCACAACCGCACCCTCGAGATATCCGAGGGACGTGTTCTCATGTTGTTCTCTCGTGTTTCTTTCATCCACCCTTGGTTTTTCCATGCTTCTCCCACTTGTCCCTGGATATTTTTCACTGACTCAGACTCCTCTATACCATTTCATCCGCGATGATGGGCTTTTTCATATATTATTTCACAAACTTTCGCATCTATCTTGGGATTTTTTTTCTATATTCTTCTCTTCTTCCTCGGATTCCTCGGACCCCGAATATGATTTTAAATCCAAAAATTCTCGCCCTAAACCAATATTAATTTTCATTTTTTTACTTCAATTTTTTTTCAAAGTTTTGCCACTGTCGCCTTTTTCATCCACAGACGACGCGCCAGAAAATGATTTTCATATTTTCCTTTCTCTACATTCTCGGTATAGCGTAATAATGCCTCGTGTATATATGAATTTGATGATCCTAAAAGCCGTAACAATCGGTAAAATATTCGCGAATAAATCGATCGTTGACCTTCTATTGTTCGGGGGAATACACAGAAGGTGCTTTACCTTTTATCCGATTGATGAACGTCATATCGGACTAGCCAAAGCCTCGACCTTTTCCTGGACTGTAAATGTCACTAGCCAGCATGATTTGTCTTGTTAATGTTTTTCCCCCAGGAATATTTCAACGATATAAAAACTAAAAAAATATTAATCCCTGATTGTTTTCACCGACTGGTGCTCCTTTGTCTCGATAGAGTGTGAGAAACCCACGTTTTTCTGCCATTCCCTCTCGTTTATTCTCCCACCCCCGAACATTGTAACATCCCCGGAATTTTTACCCACGAGATTCTTTCAATTTTTTTTTCTTGTATCAGACGAGAACGCGCACTAGCTCTCTACCTGCAGCGACCATTCCACGGGGTTTAATTATCTTGTACGTAGGGAATGACGAGAACCTCCCTCCCCCCTCTTTTTTTCCTATGGTTTTTATTTAGGATGATGGGAATTACAAGGGTTGGATTTTATTTCTACGGAACAATTAACCGTAATTATTCGCGCTACAGGCAAATTGAATCGCTTGGCGAACCCGTGTTCCAGACCCGGTTGAGTTTTTCTGTTGAATAAAAAATCGAGAAGAATTGAGAGATTGGATATTTCAGGTTTTCCGTGAAAATCAAGTCATTGAATTTTTCTGCCAATTTTTCAGCTCATGCTGTCAATTAATTTCATATGCGAAACGAAATTCGTATTTTTATAATATTTATACCACTGACACAAAAATTATATTTTGAATTTTAAGTTGTTGAATACTCTGATAATTCTTAATTATTCTCAATTATTCTCAATTATTCTCAATTATTCTCAATATGGCCCTGAAAACCATAAAAATGTTGAAAATTCAAGCAGTCAATGAAGAATCGATCATTGCTTTAAATGAACACCCCAATTTTCCGAAAATGTCACTGGAATTTTGAGAAATTTTTAAAAGTCTAGGTTTATTAAGCATTGCAGTGCTCGTTGAAATTATCACCCTCATTTGGGGATTTTTCTTTTTCTCTCATAATTCTCACTTTCTCATTGTCCCTATCACAGAGCAAACGAAACCGAGGGGATGCGTATCTCCAAGTCGTGACGTTCAAGAGGTGCGTGAAACAATGCGACACAAATGGACGGCGCCACCATGTCGCGACCGTTTCTCCCACTTTGTTTTATATGACGGTTTTCCCCCTAGGGTCTATAAGTCCCTATACCCTCCCCTCGGTATACCTCAACGTGAAATTCCGTCTTTGATCATTGCGAGAAACCGATCTGTTACTTCAATCGTTTCAATTCTCATTATTCATCCAGACTGTTGATAAAATTTTCATAAATTTTCCATTGTCATTGATTTTCTGAAACATCCCTTGAAGTTGAAGACTCGAAAATTAATAAGAACATTTTTATCAGTGAAGTTTGGATCCAAACAGATTCCATCGGCTTTCAAGAGTCATAAGGGTAATAGAAATGGGGGGGCGAAGGGGAGAGGGTACTGAGGATTTCCTCGGGTTCGTGATGTTGAGAGCTCTCCAGATGGGATCGTAAGTTTCTTAGATACTTTGCGCTGTCGTATCCTCACGTCGACTTCCCCTCGTGTCTTCCCGGGTCTCGACCCACATTTTGAATATGGTTATCCACATTGTACGAGTAGTGGTGTACTCAACTCATTGAAATTCGTAAAGTGTTTGAGGTAATCTAAGCACTTTGGTAAATCTCTTTCGGTGAAATCCTCGCCAACATTTGAACGTTGGAGCTTTCGTTGAAACTCATTAGGAGGTTTTGCGATGATTTTATCGCTCTCACTCTGGTTTACGGTTTGTTCTCGGCTGTTAATCGCTCAGGAATCCTTTGCGAGTGAGTAGAATTCATGATACTATCGAAAATCGGCATGTTTTCGGGATTATCACTTCATTGTTGGCCTTTTTTACGCATTCAATCAAATTCGTCAAGTTCTGCCATTGGAAGTGACTATTTCAAATTGGAAATTCGATTTTGATCCGATCCATCATTTTTTTCACGCAAAGTAGACTCGATTGAAAGTGAAGTCTAAATTCCCTACTTGATGACAAAAAAATTAAAAAAAAAATGATGAAATAAATGACAAGGAGTAAAAAAGCGGGAGCAGTTACTTGAATTCAAGTGAATAATCATTGACTTTCAAATGGCTGTCTGAAGAAATAGAAAAAAAGTCGTTGTAATGAGAGAAATAAATTGACATTCGCGGAAAGTGCATTTGAAATAGAAAAAAAAGGGGGAAGTCGGCGTGTAATACAAAGTAACAATCGTTGGGCACACACGAAGGTTGTGCCGGCCTTTTACAAGTTTCCTGTGATTCGACGGGTGTATGACGACGGTGGGGTAGAGTGAGATGATTGGAGAGGGGAGATGAGAGAAATGGATAAACGTGAGAATAAAAAGAGGAGGGAAAAGGTTTCTCTGGTTGCCTGTGGTTAAACCGGTTTTCCGTATCTCCGATGAGTCATCCACGGCGACGCAGCGTCCCGTGCGTCAAGTGCATTTCCTGGCCTGGTGCATCCCAACTCCACCAGAGGTGGGGATCTACTATTCATCCAGGGGTACTCATCGCCTTCCCATCATTTTTACTATTTCACAAACTCCAACTCCAATTCTTCAAAAATAATTCAAAAATTGTCTAAACCACTCAAGTCATTGCATTCTTTTCACTCATTTTTTTTCAATTTTTTGGAAGAAAATTAATCATAGATAGACAACATCGACAATTTATATGACCAT